TTGCTGGTGAATACATTAGTCCAGTAGACCTTCATATCTCTTTTTTTCGTAACTGTTTATTTAGATGATGTTTTGATGTTAAGCAGCAAAAGTTTGCTTTCCCTGGATCTTTTGACGCGCTAAACTCAATACAGGCCTTATGATCCTGACAGACCAACTGGAGCCTTTAGCAGCATTTATTACCGCTCATCCGCTTTTTGCCAACTTTTCACGGATATTCCATAGCAGTGTCTGACCAGACAATCTCAAAAACGCATGATCATGCCAGTCCGATCATGCATGCCGTGTTAGCTTACATGTCCCTCGAATAATCAAATAGGAAATATCATGAAACCAAATGGACGTCAGGATCGCCGCTGATACAGCACCAGTTAAAGAAACTGAAGCCAGGTGCACAGTTTCAGAACCATGCTATAAACTGCGTCTGGTCAGTTTTGCAGTAACTGGAATCACAACAGTTACATGAAACTTACGATACACAGAATAACAACTGAGATGAGATAAACTATAATTGTGGTTAAACAATAAGTTGTCACGGCAACATGTAATATTGGTTGAAAATAAAACGCGCCCACCACAAAAACACTGAGTGAAAGGCCAGCAATATGAACGATAAGACGAGGCGGCCACACTCTGTAAATTGTATATCCGTTCAACAAAAACTAGTGCTGCGAAGTAGAGGCGAAGAAATTTATTTCCTCATCCTGCGGAAATGACAGAAATTCTCAATGGAATCAAAAAAAACGATCGAACTCAACCTCAACAGGCTTGAAAATCGAGTCATATTCGTTGTAATCAGCTAAATGTAGATGAAAACGAACAAAAATAAAAGAAAAATGCGCACAGAAGTGGAATAATACATTTAAAATAAAAAATTATAATCATAGATATTGAGATATGCGTACGCGTAAGTAAATACATAATATGTAACATGTAGCACATGGATGAATAAATAATAAACAAATGTATGCAAAATGGCAGCAGCTAGGATAAAACTACGAAAA